AGGTCATGAGGGTGGGGCCCTGTGATGGGAGCGACGTCCTCGTAAGAGGAAGGGACAGGGGCTCTCTCTCTGTGTGTGCACATACCAAGGAAGGCCATGTGAGGACATAACCAGGAGGGGGGTTCTCACCGAGAGCCCGAGCAGGCCGGTGCCCTGACCACAGACTTCCAGGCTGAGAACTGTGAGAAATAAGGGTCGTTGTTCGGGCCACCAGGCTGCTTGTTCCATTACAGCAGCCTGAGCTGACCGGGATGGGTGTTAACCAAGCCCAAAACTTAGCCCTGAACTGAAACTGATGGCGCTGGTTTTGATGCCCTCAGTTTCCCATTCTAGAACCTTCTTGAGCCTGCTCTTTTGACTCTGGGTGATTCTCATGGGAACTTGCTTTCAGCTGGCTGTCGTGGTGGAAAGTTGTGGACAGGCTCGTCTCCTGTTGTCATCACGTTGCGGGTGGACACCTGTCCCACAGAGGCCTAGGGCTACGCCTGGCTGGAACCAGGCAGGTTTGTAAGCAGAAGAGGCTGGAGGGTCTGCTTGTTCTCCCTCCTGGATGCACATAGCCTCCCAGAACCCTCTACCCAGAGCAGGCAGGCAGGAGGGAGGGAGCCATGTGCACCTCCTTGTGGCGGCCTTTGTGGGGACTCAGGATCAGGAAGGGAACTCATCCTCTGGTGATCGCCCAATGACAGCTGGAGAGTTGTAAGCAACAGAAACTCAACTGGGCTTAAGCAAAAAGGGGAACTCCTGGCTGGTGGGCCTGAATGGCTTCAGGTAAGATTGTGTCTGGTTATCTACTGCCGTGCTACAAACACGTCCCAAACTCAGCAACGCACCGCGCAGTTAGTATGATCTTTCACAGCTCTCTGGGCTGGCTGGGCTGGCTGGGCAGTTCCTGCTGGGGCTCTCGGGCAGCTGCAGTACCAGCTGCCGAGCCTGGAGGCGTCTGAAGGCTCACCTGCGCAGGGTGCCCGAGCACCTTCAGGCACCGCTTGCTCCTCTGGCTGGTTCCTCTCTCCAGCGGCATAGCCTGGCCTTCGTCCACGTTGGCCTGGAGCTCCAAGGGGCAGACAGCAGGGGCGACTGGGCAGTAAGTGACTGCTCCTGCAACTCGGCCGGTGTCGCTTCTGCTCTGTCCTCTTGGTCAGGTCAGGCAGAGGGCAGCTGGAGGAGTGGGCCCTGGGTCTTGATGAAGATGGGCTAGGTCACGGCGTGAAAGTAGACAGGACGGGAGGTGCTGTGACTTCTTTGGAAAATACGGTCTGCCACAAGCTGGGCCCAGGTGCTCAGACGCTGTCATCGGAACTTTGTATGTCTCCGTTGCTCTGCCTCCATTCTCAAGAAGGCTTTCCAGGTGTGAGCGCAACGGTGGTCCAGAAGCTGCGGGTTGCCATTTTATCAGCTGAGCCTGGCCACCCCTGGACCGTCACTGTGATTCTGGTCGGGCCAGCCTGCGTTAGCCTGGGGTGAGTGGTCGGCCCCACCTAAACTCGAGGGAATGAGAGCGGGGTGGATGGTTCTCCCAAGGAACCTGGGGCTGCTGCTCCCGGGTGAGGGAGGATGGGTGGCTGGGCAGTGACAACACCTGCAGGTCGCCTCCTCTGACTTGCTCCTGCTCTGGTCCACTTTGAATCACAAACAGACAGGATGTGGTGCTGAGTCTGTGGCCTGGAAGAGCTGGTGGTCTGCTGGAAAGGTTCCCACCCACCCCTCCAGCTGCCTTCCCACCCACCACAGAGACAGGGAGGACCGTGCATCAACAAGGCTTCCTCGCTGGGCCCAGGTCTTTACAGTGCACTTTTTTCCTCCCTGGAATCCCTGCTGATCTTTCTTGGTCTAGTTCAGTGATGAGCCCTCTCCCAAACAACACTGTCTCAAGGAAAGGGCAGAATAGCACAGGGATTCCAGGTGCAGGCTCCAGAGCCAGGCTGCCTGGGTCAAATCCTGACTCTGTCACCAGCTGTGTGGCCTTGGACAAGTTACTTTACCTCTCTGTGCTTCCGTTTTCTCACCTGTAAAATGGGGAAAATAATGACACCTACCTCATAGGGTTGTTGGGAGGATTAAAAGAGTTAATACACGTAAAAGTCTTAGACTAGTCAATCTTGCTCATCGTAAGTTCTCACTAAATGCTAGGAATCATGCTTTTGTTTTTTATACAGTGTTCTTTATATAGTAAGGAAATTAATTTCTTAACTGTTAAATGTCTTATAAATATTTTTCTCCTGGATTGTCATTTGTCTTTTCACTTTGTTATGGTAAATTTTCTGCCTTGCAGAATTTTATAATATTTATGCACTCAAATTTATCCATCTTTTCCTGTGACATCTGGATATCTTTCTTTTCTTTTTTTGTCTTGTTGAGAAAAACTTTTCCTCACTTTATTTTTTGGATGAACTAGGATTTAATGCTCATAAGGAGAAAAACTGTCAAATCAATTTGTCAATATTGTGATTATTTTTTTCCTTCAGATTTTTTCTTCTTTGTATGAATGACCCCAAGAGCATGAAACAAAGTTCCTGCAAATGCTAATATTAGAAGGCTCGTTGCGAGTCGTTTAAGACTCTATGAAAATGTCAGCTGACATTTAAATATAAACTATTCCCCAGATGGAAGCAATTATTTTGCAGGTCGAATTAACAAAAATGAAAAGCTTGGCTTATAGGCACCACTGTTTGCCTTCGATCTACGCTTACCTAACACCAAATTGAAGGTTTTATTTTTATTTTTCTTCCTGAACAGAAAGACATTTGGCCAAGGCAGGATTGAGTGGAAGGAATTTTTAAACACAAAAGTGTTTGGAAAAATTTGACTTCCATGAATCCCACAGGGAATTCGTTTCATAACAGAAGTTTCACAACGCTCTGTATTGGTTTCCCAGCGAAACTGGTTGTTTCGGAGAGGGGAGAGCACGGCAGGAGGCCGTGGGGTGTATCCAGACCGCACCGCCACGGTGACGGCAGACAGAGGTGGTGGCCATGCTCCGGGCGGTGAGGCCTCCACCGGCCGCCTGGGCAGGGAGCAGGCTGTGTCCTGGGACAGCACAGCCGCACTCTGGGCGTCCTTTTGTTGTGGGACCCACGTCACAGGCCACTTTTGAGGACCTTGCTTTCCTCAGTGGCCCTAAGGACATACCCCTTGTGACCTGGTGTTCTCCCCTGGAGCCTCACAGAGCTCAGGAAAGGTCCAGGCCCCTACCATTTTTTTGAGGTTTCTGTTATGTTAAAAAGAAAAATGGAGAAATTCCAAACCAGGGTTATAAAATTATACTATGTTTTACAGACTAATGTTAATCCTATTAGGGCTTTGAACCCACAAAAGTATAATGTAATGTAATTGTCACAAGACATTTGAACAATGTGTAACAAATATGTTGATTCATAAGGCATTACAATAGGATGATTGTAATGGGACACAAGTTTATACTTGATGACAAATGTCCTCTTCTAATTCAGTGACTCTCTAAGACCATGTCCATAATCTCATTTGAAGATAAGGTCTGAAGGCTCAATTTGGGGCCATTTAAGTAAATAAGGCCATGGCAAATGGCCCTCCACCTCTTCTCTCCGCCCCCATCGCCGGCCTGTCGGGATCCGCTCTGGGCACCGTCCTCTCCCAGCATCAGCAAAGCTCTCTCTCCACGGAGCCCGGGCCGGGGTGGGAGGGTCAAGGCAGCTGGATTTATTTCCAGCTTTCACACTCAGAGTCCAGGCAGGTTGCTGGCTTAGCGCACACACACGTGTGTGCACACATTCTCATGCGCACACGCACAGTTTACTCACGTGCAAAGAAAGGGTGAGAGTGACTGGAGTCAGAGAGGCAGAAAGGAGGCAATCAGCTCCAAAGGCGATGAGGGGCAGCCTAAAATCCAGCCGAGGCTCCAGCCAGGTCTGGCCCTTGTCCGTCACAGAGGAGCTGGCCCCAGGCCCACAGGGTGATTGTGGGGTGGGGGCCTCACCCTCCAGAGCTGGCCTTGTTCTCACCCTCCGTCTGCTTCCAGTGACGGAGACACATCAAGCAGCAGGCCAACTCCATCATCCTGACCTTTGAGCCAGACCGTGTTGTCCGCGTGGAGCAGGACCCTCGCCCCAGTGTGGGGCCGAGCTAGGGACTCACTAAGAACCTGGAAGCCGGGCGTCTTGAAAGAAACTTTAGCTGCCAGGGCCTCTGTGCGCCCCACTCTGTTCCTGTCGGAAACGTACAGTTGTAGACATCCAAACCCTCCCAAGTGGGCTTCCCCTTTGCCTAGAAATCCCCACTGGGATTCATCCTCAAGGCATGTGAACTGCTTCTAGTTCTGTTGGAAAATAAAAAGTTGAAGGAAACCTTAAGACCCAGCAGCAAGGACTTGTTTAAAAATGATTGTGGTACCTGTTTAGAATGCGATGCTGTGCAGATATAAAACATGACAGCAGAAAAGTGTATTTATGGCCATCGGAGGAAGTTTATGATATAGTAAGTTTTTAAAAAATGTGGTTTGTAAACCAGTAAGCCTGAGTTAGTTCCTTTCTTTGTAAAATATGCTAATAGAAGAGGTTCTGGCGGGAGCTGCCCTGAGGATGCCTCAGTAGGAGGAATAGAAACAGAACGGTGTGGGTTATTGACGTTCGCGGCTCTGGGGTCCGACTCTGGAGTTTGAATCTAATCTGACTCTGGAGTTTGAATCTAATCTTCATCAGTCACTCATTTAATGACCTTGGGCAAAGTGGCCTCAGTTTCTTCATCTGCATGATGGGGATGGTAACAGGGTTTTCATACTATTTAAGAGGAGATAATTCATTTGAAACGCCTGGAAAAGTGCCTGGTACTTAGTGAGCTCTTAATAAATATTACTTATTATTATTGTCTGTATTTTCTGAGTTGAACATACATTGTCTCTAGAATGAGAAAAAGAAATTGCTTTTTAAATAAAAAATAAAGAGCAGAGAGAACAGCCTGCTTCTGAGAGGTGAAATCCCTTCTGCTTGTCATTAATAATGACCCAGCACCTTCCTTTTCCTCAGGTGTCACATTTTCCTTTTTCTGGAAGACACAAGGAGAACACTCCAGACCAATCCCTTCTGCTTATGGCGGACAGGTCATTTCCGACGGGTTCAAAATCTGCTCCAGCGGTGGCAAGGGCTCCGTGGAGCTGTACACGCGGGACAATTCCAAGACGTGGGAGGCCACCTTCAGCCCCCCAGGTAAGGGGGCCTCCAGCCCGAGTGTCCGTTGGGGGAGGTGAGGCCCTCCTGATGACGGGAAGCTGATAGTGTCCTGGCACCGAGCGCCCTTCTGGAAGGGGCAGCTTGGGAAGAGCCTGGAAAGGGTGAGAATGAGATGGCTCAACACGGGGTTAAGAGCCCAGGTGGTGCAACCAGGCGCCTGGGTCCCGACTGACCACAAATGGACTGTGTCAGAGTCCTCTGTGTGCGGAGGCTGCGGGTCTGCATCCGCGCGGTGGCGGCGTCATTGGCACTCCCCTCACAGTTTGGGGAAGTGAAGTGGACGGTGCTGGCTGTCCCCCCTTCTCCCTCCCCCTTGTCGTCATTGTCCCCCTCTCCTCCCCCTCATCTTTCTTCTCCTCCTTCTTTTTAGTGGTATAGACTTGAAAATGTTTAACATATGATATGAAAAGGCTTTCGGAAAAGAGAGGCTGGAGATTGTGGAGAAGAAGGTGGGGCTGGGGGGGGCGTGTGGAGCCCTGGGCACAGGAGGGGGCTCTGGGCAGGTGGGGAGAGGACGGTGCCTGCGACTGTGGCTGCCTTAGCAGGTGGGAGCTGAGAGGCCAGCGTGGTTCTGTTTGATGTTCCTACTTTCTCCCGGGCGTAGTGGGGCCGATCGTTCACTGGGGTGAGGTCAGAGGTGTGGGGCAGGAAGCCGGGGCACTGGCGGAGGTCTGCAGGGGACACAGGAGGAGGCGGAGCGGTGCCTGGGACTCAGAGCATCTTGGGGCAGCACTGAGGGGGCCCCAGTCAGGGTGGGAGACTAAGAAGGGAAGCACAGAGGTGTTGGGGGCAGGACAAAGGCCCACAATGCTTTCCAACAGTAGGAAATGACGTCTTTGACGTATTTAAGGAAAATTCGTTTTCTGGTGGCTGCATGTCTCAGTTAAAAAACGTGGACTCTGGAGCCAACAGCCTGGTCCAGATCCCGCCTCTGTACCATGCTCACAGTGGGAACCCCGGCGCCTTGCCTGCTCTGTGCCTCAGTTTCCTCAGTCATGAGGTGAAGATGGTCACGGTATTACGTGATAGGGTGACCATGAGAGGTAAGTGAGTTAATACACACGAAGAGGCTGGAATGTGGTGCACGGGGAATACTGAATGTCTTTGCCTTCGTCTCTGGGCACTGTGTACACAGACCAAGCTTGCACCTCCACCTCAGTAAACGTGGGAAATTCAGTGAGTTTACAGTTTGAGGGAGTCCTGCATATTTGCCTTCTCTGGTCCCCGAGGCCGGAACTAATCTCTGCTCCCCCCGTCCGCTGAACTGCCGTACCTTGTTCATGGTCTTCTCGTGTTCTGCCTGCTCTCTATTTTTTTTTAAAGATTTTATTTTTTTCCTTTTTCTCCCCAAAGTCCTCCGGTACATACTTGTATATTCTTCGTTGTGGGTCCTTCTAGTTGTAGCATGTGGGACGCTGCCTCAGCGTGGTTTGATGAGCGGTGCTGTGTCCACACCCAGGATTCGAACCAACGAAACACTGGGCCGCCTGCAGCAGAGCACGTGAACTTAACCACTCGGCCACGGGGACAGCCCCTGCCTGCTCTCTTTCTTATGTGCGAGTCTTCTCTCCATGCTCCTTGGGCCAACACAACCTCAGGCACCTTGCAGCTTTCCTGAACATGTTTGAAGTTCAAGTCAGCTGAACTTGGCCTGTTTTTCTACCCAGGGAAATGGGGAGCATTCTAGACATTTCTGCCTGGCAATGTGCTCTTTATTTGTTCATTGAAGGGGTCTGTTATTCATGCTTTAAACTCAAGGGACCTATTTGGGATCTGAGTGGTCTCCAGAGACTCAAAATTAGAGAGTTGCACAACCCTGAGCGAGAAGCCTGATGTAATTGCTGGTGATCTCAGATGACTGCCCAGCTCGAGGTGATATGTGTCCAGAAGGGCTGCCAGTTCCTTCCTGCAGCAAGGCCATCAGGATGTCTTAACAAGACACTTGAAAAAAAAGTGGGGTCCTTTGTGGGACAAGCTGCCATGAAAGTCGGATGAACATTCTTCTCGTTGGCAGACACAGTTCTTATGCCGGAGAGACGAGTGACTGCCAGAGCTCATTGATGGAGGCTCCCGAACGAGGCAGGAGAGCCGTCTTGCCTCCCTAGTGCCGCCATGTTGGTTAATGCCACAGGCGCTGCGTCAGAGCATAGGTTGATGCCGGTGTCCTGTGGGCTGAGTCAGGCCCTCAGAGAGGTTTTACTGACCTTCACTGTGATGGCCTAGGCAGGACTTAAAAAAAAACACTTTGGAACAAGTTATGACCATTTGTTATTATTTTATTTTAATTGAACACAGCAAAGAGTCTAATTTAAAATAACCAAGGGTCTCCTTGAGCTGCTTCTGGAATTTTGGGGATGCAGGTAATTTCTCTCCTGTGCTCCAGAGGACAGAAGAAAGTCAGATCTATACGATGACCTGTATTAGGACCCACCAAAGTTAACGGTGACCAGTCATCTTAAGAAAGAGGGATGTGCTTAAAAACTGGAAAAAATGCATGAGGAGCTCATTCACACAGCACTCAGATTGGTGACCTTTGCTCTTTCCCAGGCCCCTACTGGACTCATGTCCTGTTCACGTGGAAGTCCAAGGAGGGTCTGAAAGTCTATGTCAATGGGACCCTGAGCACCTCGGACCCAAGGGGCAAAGTGTCTCACGCCTACGGGGAGCCCAACGTCAACCTCGTGATAGGGTCCGAGCAGGACCGGACCAAGCGCTACGAGAACGGAGCTTTCGACGAGTTCATCATCTGGGAACGGGCCCTGACTCCGGAGGAGATCGCGATGTACTTCACGGCGGCCATCGGTCAGTGAGAGGGTGAGGGCTGTGGGCCGGGTGTGGCGCCTGCTTCTAGGAGGCACTTTCGTATCCACCTCCCCTTCCCAGCTCTCCTCTTCTCCCCACTCCCCTGAGACAGCAGTCAGCGCTGCAGCCTGAGATCTGATCTCGTGAACCTTAGAAATGCATTTCCTCGAACGCCTGTTCCCTAAGATGGAGGGATCGACAGCTCAGCAGAGACAGTGATTAATATTCTCCCGCTGGTCCTCAGGGAGTTTTCGACGTGGGTGTGACGGGTGATCATTTGAGAAGCAAATATCCCAGATCCATTAGTGCATTTCATCAACAAGTGTTTACCACGTGCCCCGAGGATGCCCCTTCCTGCTCAGCACAGAGCAGTTGTTCAGATCAGGGACCTGTGGAACCTGGGTTCAAATCTTCACTCAGCCACGATGAGCCGTGGGACTGGGGAAGTCAGTTTTTTTTATTGAGGTAAAATTTGTACAACATAAACTTAACCATTTTAAGGTGTACACTTCGGTGGTACTTAGTGTGTCCATAGTGCTGGGCAACCATCGCCTCCAGTTTCAAAGCATTCTCATTACCCCAAAAGGACGCAGCGCCCACGAGCAGTCACCCCCATCCCTGCCTCGCCAGCCCCCCATGATTTACTTTTTGTTTTCCTGGATTGACCTGTCTGGATGGTCCATATAAATGGAATCCGATAATACTGAGAGCCTTTGTGTCTTAATCTCTCCAAGTCACAGTTTTCTCCTCTGTAAAATGGATGAGACTCACACTGCCCCGTCCTGGGGGTGCTGTGAAGATTAATGTGAGAGGCTGAGGCCGTTAGCACAAGGCCCGCACATGGCAAGTTTTCAATACATTTTCATTGTTTTAAGATTAATATTAATGTTTCCCCCACAATTCCATTTTCATTCTCCCCACAAGTGAAAGTACTGTTTCTTTGATTGACATGAAATAATCTGCGGAATGGCAAGACTCACCCTGTTGGCACCTGGTGAACGCTTCCTGGTTGGTGGCTGCACTGACACCAGGGCCCCAGGGGGAGGGGGAGTTCAGGACCAGGAGGTGGAAGGCCTACGTTCGGGATCCCGGCTGGCACTGGCTCAGGCTCTGACACGGAGTCCCTCAGCTGTGAGGACCCTAGTGATTGTGTGACAGAAAACTCAGCTCAAAATGACTTAAGCCAACAAGGGAATTTTTTTTATCTCACACAATGGAAACAATAGGGGAGAATCTGCTTCAGGACTGGTTTGATTCAGGTGCTCAAATGATGCCACTAGGAATCTGTTTTTGACCCTGCCCTCCTTCGAGTTAGCCTTCTTGTGGTGCCAGGGCGGCTGCCCTTCCCTCCGGGGTTGCATCCTCATCCTCCAGCACCCTCAGCTCCTTCAGCAGGGCTGCCCACGACTCTTACTGGCCTAGACTGACCCATGTGTTTCCCATGAGTGGCTTGCGGTGGCTGGGTTATAGAATATGCTGATGGGCCTAAGCCTGGGTCACAGTCCACCCCTGAAATGGCAGTGGGGTCAGCCTTGTCCAGAGTATGTGGAGAGGGATGCCCCAAAGGACGATCAGGGATGCTGGGCTCAGAAGCGGGTGGAGCCGCTGTGCACGCAGAAACAGCCCACGTGCATCGCAGCCTTGACATTTCCAGCCTTCACTGAGAGAGTGGAATTCACTCCCTTTCACTGAAGGGCCATGAGGGCAAAATATGGTGTCCTGCGGAAGGAGGAAGGGTATCAGTCTCCTGCATTTTATTGCCTGGGAGTCAGAGCGTTGTCTCTGAGACCAGGATGCTGTCCGTGTGTGTTGCTGAGAGCCTCACGCAGGCCCTGCGTCTCTGCTGGCTCGCTGTCTTAGGAACGCTGGAAAGAGGCATCTCTGGTTCTTGTAGCTGTCACAGCAAACCCTTGTCACTAGGACAACTCTGGGCTCAGGGATGGGGCGTGTCGCCTGCCTGCCCGGTGCAGCGTTTCAGGAACGCTCGGCGGCTGAGTCGCGTGCGTGCAGTCCGCCTCGCCCTCCGTGCTCTGGGAAGGGATGCCCGAGTCTTTGGGGATTCGGGAGAGGTGTTCTGTTAACACTTCGGCATCCTGAGAGCTCACGCCCTGCGCTTTTGCTGAAGCAGAACGGGAGCCGTCAGAGTCCCACGTCGCTTGGGGATTTGGTTCTGAAGACGGGTGCATGACGTAAAGCACGTGTAGAACAGATGACCTGGGAAGTCCCCTGGAAGGCCCTGCGTGGGGCTCCACGTCCCGTCGCTTCGTTAGTCCGGCTCCACGGGTTCAGGGCCGCTGTGCTCACACAGACAAGTGGTGCTGCAGTCCAGCCTGCTCTCAGGCCTGGCCGGGGCCCTGGTGGGCTGTGTCCCCGGGGGGAGGGAGGACCTGTTCTGGGCATAAGATCTATCTGCATGTGAAGCTGTGTGCTGCGGCTGCCGGGCTCCAAGGGGGTGTTTCTCTGGGTGACTGTCCAGGGTGGTGCCCTCTTCTAACCCTTTAGCTAGAGCAGGCCCATTTTCGGGCCGATCTGTTCAGATGCGGGGCCCTTTCTCGTTCATACAAAGGCAGATCATCTATCTATCACCCTGGCCGGGTTTTGCCTCAGCCTCAACGGATGGCCCGCCTTCTGCCGAGAACAAGAGCAAGGAGGAGGCCGTGCTCCATCACGTGATTGGAAAGCGTTTATCTTTGAACACGAGAAACACACTCAGCATGGCCAGATGTGCACTTTACAAGAGTCTTTGGGGAACGAGACTGACTCAGGACACGGCAGGTCCTCATTTCTCATCTCAGTCTTGCGTGAGCATCAGCTGTGAGGGTGGGCGGAGTCGCCAGGCTGACTTTTACCATCCTTCCCTTTGTTTTGTGGACTCGCCTGAGATAAGCGTGAATTTGACATGACTCCTCTGTAACTCGTTGGCACTCGAGGAAGGAATGTGGCCCTGACGTGCATAATGGAGTGTCTGGGGCCCCGGTTCTCCTGGTCGTGTCACACTTTCTGCATCCACCAGCTATCATCCTCACCCCAACCAACGGGTCAGTTCCTCCTGGAGCTAACTGGGGGTGAGGAGGTCCTTCCTCACGTCACCCCAAAGCCACCTTGAGGGATGTAGTGTCTACTTAAGTCTGTGTGCTCATCAGGGAGTAAATGCTAAGATCAGAGATAGCTCGTGGCAAACAGGCTGAGAATAGCAAATCATGTCTTAATTTTCCTCATTTCATCTTCATTATTCGTAATTAACCAGATGGAGTCTTGAATAGAAAGAATAACTAGAATCCTCAGGGTGGAAGGGGCTCAGGAGCATAGCCCCCCACTTCGCTGGGGTCCCGCCTCACGTCATCTCTCTGGAAGGGAAGTCCCCTGGTCTCCTGCTTGTCCTCGCCCCATGACGAACAGAGCTCTGTGTTTCTCTGACTAGTTCAGAGGCGTTTGAAGCCTCTTTCTTTGGGTTCTTTCCTTATTTGAAATTGGTCAAAGCTGTATAAAATCGTCTGTTTATATGGTGACTTGCATGAAGGGTGATCAAAAGCAATTTAGGATATAAATGGAAAGATAATTTGACCTGGGAAAATCCCTCCAATCTCTCCATTAAGCTGATTTATTAGCCCTTTACTGTTCCAGCAACGTTCCCACTCAAAACATTGTGAGGCTCTCCGAGCTGCTTCTGCGGCCGGCAGAGTCTTGAACAGGGACCGGCCTTCCTGAGGGCGAGAGACGTGCCCCTGTTCCGGTCCTTAATTAAGCATTTCTGATTTCTTCCAGGAAAGCATGTTCTGCTGTCTTCAACCCCAGCGGGCTTCCTCACGACGCCCACGGCGAGCCCCATGGTGAGCAGGCGCCTTTCTCTGTTGCCCCCTCTTGTCGATGTCTTTTTACTCGGACTGTGTGCCAGGAGAGGCGAAACTCCATCAGACAGTCTGGCTCCCTCCTATTGGCATATGATGTCTGGGAAGAAATCATAAATGGAGGAGAAGCTAATTTTGGTGCTAATTCTTGATGCTAAGAGTGGCTGAAGAAAAAATCCTCTGCGTCATGTAGCCTGTAACTCAGGCACCTAAAAGGAGTAAACAAGGCTGCTTAGGGACACAGGGATGCTGGGACTGCTTCCTGGGGCATTCGGCACAGTGAGCAGAGAGCAAGCAGGAGCTGGCCTCGACGCTCCGCTGCTCTTTATGCCCTGTCTTCCCATGTTCGAGGAAAGGAGCAATTCCTACAGAAAATGCTAAATGGAATTAGTGTTTGTAATCAAACCACTTTCCCCCATGAGAACATTAACAGCATGGTGAGGCACAGGCTCTGAACCCTCTGCTTGGCTTCCCGTCCCAGTCCTACCGCTTATTTCTGTGTCAGCCTCACTGTGCTTAGTTCCATCGACCAAATGGGCACGTATTTATTTCATGAGGCTGTTGGCAGGATGGGATGTCAATAGATGTAAAGTAGTCACGAAAGTGCCTGGTGCCCAGTAGGTGCTATCATCGTTACGTGTTATTACCGTCTAAGGAGACCCAGAGGACACGGAACTCTGTAGAATATCTCGGCTTCCATGCTCAGTAGGAACTCACGTTGCTGATTTCTTTTAGATGCCCACTGACGCCTACCATCCCATCATAACCAACTTGACAGAGGAGAGAAAAAACTTCCAGAGTCCTGGAATTGTACTGAATTATCTTCAAAACGTGTCCCTCAGCTTACCCAACAAATCCCTCTCAGGGGAAACAGCGCTGAATCTCACCGAGGTAAAGCTATTTGATTTCTGTGCCTGGTGGATCAGGGGTCGGGGGAGGCCACCTGCCAGCTCATGGCCCACAGGTGTTTTGTTTGACCTACACAGAGTTTTAAGAAAATGAGGAACTTTTAGATAAAGGCCGGATGTCAGGTTTCTCATGAACAACGAGATGGCGTGGCCACTCCAGCCGGCTCTCGACGGCTTAGTGGGGCCTCCTGCAGACTCAGCTCTTCAGCTCATTTTCCCAACACCCACCAGCCTGGCCCGTCTCTACATCTGCCTGGCCCCTGTAGGCATTTGGGTTTGTGACTCCTGGTCTACACTCTGCTGCCTCCCTTGGCAACAGGGCCAAGGTGGAGTTGGGTCACACGGTGTGACCCCAACCACTACACCTCTGGAGTGGAGCTGTGTGGAGGCACCTGACTCTGGGTGTCCTGGAGAAGGCTCATGCAGGTTTACCCCAAATCCCACTGATGTCTCTCATTTAATGAGAAACACAAATCCTTGGCATCCCTTATCCTATTTTCCATGATGCCCTGGCTTCTCGCCACTGGCAGTTGGATGGGAAAATGCCAAGAGTCCCTTCCTGGGCTGGGTAGTAAGGTGGCCATTAGCCCTATGAGACGGGAGCACTCGGCCTGCGGCTAGTCCAAACCAAGATGTGCTGTGAGTGGAAAACACAAGCCGGATTCCTAAAACCGAGTACAAGGAGAAGAATGTAAACTATCGAATTAAAAATTTTTAGGTCAATTACATGTTGAAATAATATTTCAGATACATTGGGCTAAGTAAAATATACTATTAAAATTAATTTCACTTATTTTACTTTTTAAAATATGGCCACTAGAAGATTTAAAATGACAAATGTGAGTTGCATTATATTTCAGCTCAACTGAACTGCACTAGATCAGGAGTCAGCAAACCGCAGCCCCCAGCCCTCGTCTGGCCCTCCGCCTGCTTTTGTGAATAAAGTTTTATTGACACCTGCTCTCTGGGTCACTTCTGTGCTGTCTCTGGCTGCTTTTGCACTACGGTAGCAGAGTTGAGTGCTTGTGGCAGAACTGTGTGGCTCGTAAAGGCTAAGCTCTTTACTAGGGGACCCTTGAAAAGAAGGTGCTGGCCCCGCTCTAGATTGTAACCTCTGCCCTGGAGCCCTCGAGCCCCGTGAGGCAGGAGGGGGACTGTTGTGTTCATCCTCCATTCTGAAGGCCTTGCACTTTAGGGTCTCAATGAGTATTTATCAAATAAAGATAAACTAAAGAGTGAGGAGTTTTGATGATGTATTCTCTAAATATTTAGTGTCTAAAAGGGTGAGGAAGAATGTGATCTTTCTGGAGATGGCAGTTTTGGGGGGAAATATGGGAGGTTTAGATCAGGCTCTAAGTTTAATTCTGGTGTCTATAGGAGGAGACAAACAGTTAAAAGCCTGTAAGAGTGATGTACGTGAGTGAAACAGACTTGGCGTAAGGCAATAGGGAATGGTGAGGACCAGGGTGAGCTGGGAAACACATACCTGCCTAGGGGCAGCTGCTGTTCAGCTTTGATCAATGATGGCCATGTGGGAATATGGGCTAGGGGTTGTCTGAGCTTTCGCCTTTTTAAAAAGAAGCAGGAAATTTACATATTTTCATTTAAATCTCCCAATTTGAAAATGTTAGAAGCTAATTTCATTTTTTTTAGAACAATAGTGAGCCAAACCAAACATGGCTTTAAGGTTTGACCAAGGAACCCCAAGCAACTTCCGCTTTATAGAGAGGTAATTTCCAATGAACACAAGTGTTTTATGTCAGTTTGGCTTCTCGTCCCAAAAGAATCACACTCAGCAGGCCGTGAATTCTTCATTCGTTCACTTGTTCATTCTGTGTGTAGGGCTTCTGCCATAACTAAGCTGTGTTCATTTTGACATCTAAATGCTTGCCCCTAACTAAAGGGTTGTCACGGGGAGCAAATAAGATAACATTGATAGGGCTTTGTAAAATATAACCCGATACACTAATGCGAGCTGTTTCTGTTTACTGCTGTACGCAAAACCCAGTGCTTGATAGAGATGGGGAAAATTGAAAATCTTAAGAAATGAGGCTTAGGGGTACGTGCTAAGCTGTGTCATTTTGTCTGCCTTTAGACGTTCTTAAAATCCGTTGGAGAGGTTCTTCAGCTGCCCAGTTGGACTAGTGTGTCAGAGGTAAGAAAAAACATTTTGATCTTCAAAGTGTCTGTACCTTGGGAACCATTTTGTCTTCTGGAAGTGGCGTAAGTGTGGCTCAGCTCACGTCTGTCAGAGAAGGGATGTGTGTCCGGTCCTGTCATCTGGAATGCTGGAGCTCATTTTGACTGGGTGCACGACTGATCTGAAATGCCTGTCTTCTGCATGGTCCAAGAGTTACGTGAGCGTCAGTCATGCGTCACTGTCCTCTGTGCTGTGCGGGGAGACGGGTGGATTTCTTCGTGAGGAATGTACACCTGGTTGGCCCTTATTTATCAGTTTTATAATATATTTTTTCCATCACATTGTTCTTAAATGGTAATAAAAATCATGTCTAAAGTTTAAAGATCACTAAATAAGTGAAAAAAGTAGAACACGTGACAATTTGTACTTCACGATTCTAAGTGTAAAAACAGAAAAGCTTCTCTTTTTCTCTGAACTCCAAATAATTAGAAAAGAGAGTGGAATAATTTTTCTTTTTAAAAATGACTTCATTGATTTTACTTATTTAAAAAATAAAACAAGTAAATGTGTTTTCAAGTTAGAAAATATAGATCATAAAAAATATGTAAAATAAAAATCACCTGAAATCCTAAGACTGAGAGATAATGACTCTTAACACTCATATATGTTCCTTACAATGTAGTTTTCAGTTCACTCATGTGCATATCTAGTCTACAAATATACGCATATCTGACTTAACCTGTTTTTCCTCAATCACGTGGAGAGCCTTTTCCGGTGGAGCTGCGTGCTCTTCTGCAGGGCTGTATTGGTCAGCCTCAGCTGGGCTAGGCTGCAGTAACAAGCAGACCCTGCATCTCAGGGGCTTGGCACGGCAGAAATTTACTTCTCACTCACGTGAAGTCCAGTGGGTCAACTCGGCTGGAGTCTACATTCCGAGAGCTCGCTGGGCACTCAGTGGTCACCTCTGCATCTGTGAAATGGGGCGGTGGTGTGACTCCCTCTCCTGCTGCTTCTCATCTGGTGGATGCGCAGACAGAGCCTGGCCTGTGATGACTCTTGGCGGAGGCTGGGTGTCCTGCCTTTGGAGGGAGGCTGACAGAGGGAACGTAAAGCTCACTTTTGTGCGTTTGAAGCATCCGTCTCCAGTGATGGCTGAGCAAGCTTGCTTTTCACGGCTCCTTCGTGTCGTGTTGTTTTCAGGACAGCGCTGTGGTGCTGGGCTTGATTGAAACCGTCGACGCTGTCATGGGCCACATATCTTCCAACCTGCCCTCCGGCGAGCCCCAGATCACCATCATAGGCTCTTCTTCCATGGCAGGTAGCTGGGCAGCGTCACTCGGGGTGTGTGCACCAGCCGTGCGGGGGGTGGCGGTGGGGACGTGGGGAGCACAGCTTCTCGTTGAATTTTGCTCTACTTCAGCCCTGCGTTCTCCCGCGAGACGTAAATACGCGGTGCCTCACACACCATCAGCTCAGATAAAACTCTCCATTTTCCTAAACCATGTTTGTTGCCTTATGCAAAATTACATTTTGGAGGAAGGCAGAGTTAGGATCAGGGCAGATGTGTTCAGCCGTGATGTGCACGGAGGACTGCATAACCATTTGACGGTGACTTGGGGTCCAGTTCATTTCGTGCAATGGTTGTCTCAGTTCAGAACAGCTATCGAGAAGCAGCAGCTTCTTCAAGTGTCTGCGGGCTCAAAGGTGCAAAACCAGGTTCCTTGGAGTTAGCTGTAGCCTTGGCCCACATGGCTCCTGAGATGATTGTCATGTTGCCTCGGACAAGCAGACGTCACAGCCCTTCGTTTTTTGAGAAGTCTTGATCTAGGAGCGTTGTACCACCCCTGCTTTACCACAAGAGCCAGACTCTGAAAAATCAGCTTGAACTGAGCCACCTGGTTAGTTTTGGTGGGGGTTTATCAGCCAGGACAGCTGCCTCCCTGCGATGGCGCATTCGCCTGATGTCTAGAAGACCAGTCTCAGGTGTTTCATTTCCCTGTGTCTCATGGGGTCCCCCAGGGCTCGGAGGAGGAGCCCCCCTGGGCACATGGGGTCACTGCACGATTGAACGCACGTGGTAACTGAGGCGTTGCGAGCTGAGGGCTGCTGCCAGGGAAGGAGTGTCACCTCGGGCCGAGAGTGCCCCGCATTGTGTGGCTGGATGGACATGAGAGCTGCGTGGTCGCAGGTCCTTCCCTGGACTCTTATTTTTTCAGCTCCTCATTTTTGAAGGTAATTATAGTCCCCAGGGGAGCTCGTTCTGATAAAAAAAAAGGCAAAGCAGATGGGGTTTTACAGCCCGACTTCCTGCGCCCTGCCGTTTACTGACGAGCTTCCTCTCTCTGGCTTGCTCTCAGAGTTCTCAGTGGCCAAACTCCTACCCAAGACCATGAATTCCTCCCACTACCGCTTCCCGGCCCAGGGGCAGAGCTACATCGAGATTCCCCATGAGGCTTTCCGCAACCAAGGTGAGTGCTGCCGACAGCCCAGGGCCCTCCCTAGGACGGGCTGCCCTGGCTCTCCCCGGAGACCTCGGGCCTTGCAGAGTGGCTGCCCAGCTGAGGGCCTCCCCCCGGCCTCTGCACCTGTTCCTGCAGGAGCAGCTCTGGGCCAGGTTTCTGTCCTCGGGAACACAGTGCATCTTTGGAAGCTCCTGGGAGGTTCACTCGTAATGCTGATCCCAAGCCCACTCCAGCCTCCTGACTGGATTGAGGTGGAGGGGCTGGGGAGCAGCATTTTAGGCAGGCCTTTCGGGTGACTCTGGCCCACTGTGAAGGACATTGTGCGTCCCCTGAATCTGCACAGCTCCTTGTTAGCTGAATATGAATAGATGCGGCCCTCTCCCCTCCCCCCAGGGTGTCCTCAGAGTAGGTCAGGGGGTCTGTCGGCTGAGGAGCCCCGGGTCCTCCTATGCAGGTTGAAGTTAAGCGTCATAATGAACAAGCAGCCGAGGGGACCCCAGTTACTCTCTCTGACCCCAGGAGTACCATCAAGGTGGCTCTGGCTGTTTTTGCTGCAGTGACTGTGCCCCTGGTCCCTTGAAAAGTGGATGTGTCTTTGCAGCCATGTCCCTCTGTTCCAGGGGTCCTCGGGCAGCCAGGGCAGTCATGGATTCTCAGCTCCTGACAATCTGGCCAGAGGGCATGCAATTCCTAGGGTTCTGCCTTAGAGATTGGGGACCAAGGCCAGCCTGGTGGTGTAGGAGCATGGTGTCGCCCTCCCAGCAAGGAATCCTCACTCGCCAGCCCTCAGGAGCCCACGTCTGCTCCCTGCACCGTCCTGTCTACCTGTGTGAAAGGGGCCCGGGGATGTCAGCTGTGTCCTGCTCCCAGAGGACTGTCCCCCACACTGGGCGTGAACTTCAGTAATGGAGGGGTGTCCATGGTCCACCAACTGCACACGTGCTCTGTTCCCATCTCACTCCACCTGGCTACTCGATCTGTTAGAAACTCTCAGTGTGTCAGCCTCGGCAGGGCGGCAGCCTCCTGGTCTCCACCTTCGGGGACTCTCACACTTGCAGCAGAGCTTGCTGGTCACGAGCGCCTGCTCAGTGGCTAGAATTCCTGGGCTCAAATCCTAGTTCAGCCACTTACTGGTCGTGCAGCTTTGGGCAAGTTACTGAACCTGTCCGTGCCTCAGTTTCCTCATCTGGCAGATGGGGGAGAGTATTAGTCCCTGCCTCATAATGTTGTTGTGAGAATTAAATGAGCCAAGCCCTTAGATCAGTACCTGGCACGGGGAAAGTGTGATATGGCTTGCTGGATACATTCCTGAAATGTTAACATTCTCAAGAGATCTACCGAAGAACTCAGGAAGTCAGCCAATGGCTCGTTCCTCAAACACCCTCTGTTCAGCTGGTGGAGGGAAATAAGTGAGCATATGATCCCTGCCTCAAAGCTGGAATATAACAGAGAGGTGGGACCCTGCCTAGGGCAGGAAGGACGAGACATGCTCCCTGCTGCAGAGCCACAGGCTGGCGCTGCCGTTGGCGGCCCGAGGGGGCCTTCTGCCTCCAGAAGCTCCGTAGTGTTCCTGGCACGTCTTGCTCTCCCTGGAGCTGAGCATCTGCGTGTCTGGAGTTGGCTTAGGGGAGGAGCAGGGAGTCATTGTCACAGCTGAATTCATAGTTGAAGAGTCTGAGTGTCCCTCACTTTCTTCTCCCCCGAGGAGCTGCCCCTGGTGCTTGGGTGTGAGGGTCTGCGCTGCGCCCTGCTGGGCGAGGCGGTTTGGCTGGGGGCTTTGGGTCTCTCCTGCTTGTCACCTGGCCTGTTGACAGGCGTCTCTGACCCTCTGCTTTCCCCAGGCTGGACCGTCATCGTGGGCCTTCTCTACCACAGAGTGCACGATTACTTGAACAACATCCCGCCAGCCCACACCAAGTGAGTCTCTGGGGTCACGCAGCAAGAGCGGGAGTGGGCATGTGCGTGCTTGGCTGCCGGGTGTCTGGCCCCTGAGACCCCCCCCTCCGCCTCCCTGCCGTCACAGGCATACCCAACATCGTGTCGGGGAACTTGCGATGCCAACATCTGATGTTTTGCTGTTAGAGCAAGGAGATGCCACAGCCCTTTGAAGAGACACAGGAACTCCTGCACTGGGGCTCAGCAAGCCCCGGGGTGGGCACAGGCTGATAGTACAGTGGTCAGGAGCCCAGGCTGGGTGCCCATCTCACCCCCACCTGAAACTAGCTGTGTGACCTGGGACAAGTGACTTGACCGCTCTGAGCCTCAGTTTCCACTTCTGTAGAATGGGAAGCCAGCAGCACATGCCTACATCAGTCAGGACTGTGATGGATACATCAGCTTAAGCAGAAGGCCAGGGAACTGAGGACTCATGGGACTAAGAAGGGCAGGAGTCTGTTGGCTTCAAGTGTGGCTGGACCCAGGGACCCAGAGGATGCTCTCTGGACCTGGTCTCTCTGTCTCCTGCCCCTGCCCTCCTCTGTGTTGGCTCATTTCCAGGCAGGCCCCTCCATGGAGGCATGGCTGGCTCTGGTAGCTTCAGGCCCATGTGGTTCTGGGTCCTGAGATCTCAGAAGAGCCATCCTCTTTCCTGAATGCACCCATGAAAACTCAGGGAGGGCTGTGATTGGCATGCTTGGGTCATGTGCCCATCCTAGGCCCCCAATCATAGTGGCCAGATGATCCTGCTCTCTCATTGGCCAAGTCTACTCACATGACCCCCTTTGGAAAACCGAGGAAGGCTGTGATTGGCTTCTTTGGGTCATGTGCCCATCCTAGGTACCCAATCATGGTGGCCAAAGGATCCTGCTCTCTCACTGGCCAGGTCTGCTCACAGGATCCCCTCCTACTTGGGGGTGGGTCAGCCCTACTCAGACGACAGAGAGGGGCTGGTTCCCCCAAGGAGAGATTGGAGGAGGCAGAAATATCACGGCAGGGCTCCACTCCTGCCTTTCCTGGCGTCCCTGGGAGAGGGCAGCAAGGCGGAGCCAGGGCCCGTGCAGAAGAGCTAGCAGGTGTGAGCCGAGCAGGTGTCTGCAGTCCCGAGGATGTGTCTCTGCAGTCAGCGTTTGGAGGGAAGCTGCTTCTGATGGCAGCACACCTGCCCCTAGACGGGCTCTGCGGAGGGCAGCAGGCGGCTCTTGTCCGTCTGTTCCCAGCGTCTGGCACAGCACCTGGCCCAGAGTGGGGGCTCAGAAAAGGTGCCTGGAGAGAGCGATGCATGTCAGAAGGAGCCACACAGCCCTCCACCCGCTTCCCTCCCCTGCGGGCACTGAGCCTGGGAAAGCTGAGGGGCTGAGGAAGGGCGTTCCTGCAAGTTTGCAGGAACTGCGGGGGTGAGTTCCAGATGCCGGCCCTGCAGCTGGGGGTTTAGATTCACCCGTGATGAAAAGCAGGCAGCGATTTTTACCGCCTACAGATAAATGATAAATACCTTCTAACAGCGCAAATACCTGAGCCCTGATGTCATGTGTCTCTCGGACAGGGCTCCTCTCCTGGATGTGAGGGAAGAGCTCATCGTCTGTAACTGTTGGGGAGAGGGTGGGGCCAGGAAGAATGCAGTCATGATTAGGAGCAAGAGCCTTCTTCTGGGTCTGCGTGCCCCGGGGAAGCCTGCGCTTTGACAAGTTCCCTGTAACTACAGAAAGGGGACTTGTCGCTCTCTGTGTGCGAGTTCCGGAATTCTTCATGAAAATCGTCAAAGGAAAATGTAGTCTCTTTTCCTCTGAAAGATGCCTTCTCAGCTCTTTGGGGAAACTTTCTCCAAACCTGAGATTATGAATGAAAAATGAACCCGTCCTTGGCCCCTCTGTGTTTATTTACAGCTCTCACTGCTGAAGGTTCAGACTGAAATGGATTTTTCAGTGAAATACTTGAAATGTGTATTCATGAGGCCTAGTGAGCCCTTCTGTGGGCCAAGGGTCAGACCAAGCAGGAGAACGGGATTCGTAACACTGTCTGCAACTCCCCTTCCCCTGGAAAAAGAAAAGGCAGAATTACTGGTTATAGGATCAGTGCATGCACACATTTCAGGGGATAAGTTACTGTCACCAAGTTGAATTATCACTCAAGCCAGGTATTGGCAAGCTTTTTCATAAAGGGCCAGATAGTAAATATTTTCAGCTTAACAGTCCATAATGTCTCTGTCAGAGCCACTTCCAGTTTGCTCTGGAAGCGTGGAAGCAGCCCCGGACAGTATGTAAAGGAATGGGAGTGGCTGTGTGCCAATAAAACTTTATTTACAAAACCAGGTGGCCGGGCCAGGCCTCTAGTTTGCAGAGCCCTGCTCTCCGGCCCTGTGTCAGAGAGGCTGCGTGTGGCCTGCTTTGGGGAGTCCCAGGCCATGCTGGAAGGTTGGCAGATGGGGTGCTGGTCCCTCTGTCCCCAGAGCTTCAGCCTTTCCCTTCCCCTCCGCCATCCTTACTGCCCCAGGTGTCCACAGAGAGGATGCAGGACCCCACTCACCCTGGTCAACTCCCCCTTCTCCTGCAGATGGGGGGCTCTGAGACCCGCACGGGCAGCAGTCCCCCTTCGCATTAGCACCCAGTGACCTATGAACTCTGTCAGCAGCAGACGTAAGTGCTCAACTGTCTTCCTGAAGTCAAAATAGAATTATTTTGCAATGACGAGGACGTATTTTTCATGTGTTGAACTTTCAGCTCAAGCGAAGTTCTGGAGTCAGCACTTACTGCGACGGTGTCTTGTTGTTGACTTTAACCTTGAGAAGAATCACCCCCCAGCTCATCAGGCCCAGGCAGCCCTGTGTTTGTCGTGTCCTCTCCTGCAGTGTAGACTAGCTTAGAGCAGGGCCCAGACTGGGCTGTGCCAACAGTGCTTTGGTTAGCTGCACAGATTTGGGTGCTGGACTCCTGGCTCCCTTCTCCCAGTGGGTACCCTTATTGCTGTGTGAACCTGCAAATGCCTGGCCGTCTCTGTGCCTGTGTTCTCCTTTCCAGAAGAGGGATGATGGCAGTCCTGATTTCTGAGGGTTGCTGCGAGCACTGAGTGAGTTAATTGTTAAATCAAGCTTGGGGCCCTTGAACGTGGCATGTGAGCGCTTGCTTTACCCCTTCATAAGCTGGGGGGATGTTCTCTTTGCTCTGCCTGTAAGATAATGATCCAGTTCCTCCGTGATTAGCAGTAGATGAGTAGAATCACATGGGCGGGGCTCCCGCTCGCCTGCACAGCTGAATTCCTTCCACTGAATGTTACACACTGTGGTCCTCACGCTTCCGTCCTTCTTTGTGAGAATGAAAGGACGCGGGGGAATCACAGTGTCCTCTACAGCCTCCTGGGGGTGGAGCAGCACAAAGACAGGGGTCAGGGCTGGGCAAGCTCTCCACCTCCACGCCAAGCCCCGGGTAGACTGCTCCAGGGGCCCCAAGTGACGACTGCCTGGGGGCACCTCTGACGGTCCACAGGGCCTGGGGCTTAGCTGGTCCCTGCTCGGCTGCCCGGACATGCTGCCTTCAAGTCTTGCCCTTCCCAGGCCCCTCGAGGACGGAGACTGTTCTTACCTGTGCTCCCGCTGTGCCAGGAGGGCAGCAGGGACGGCTGTTTCCTTACAATGGGGCCAGGACTCCGAGTGGGCGGGGAGTCTAGAGTTACCAGCTCCCGCTCCTCCTCCATAGATGAGGGGGCGGGACTGCAGGGCCAGCGGCTGGCAGGGGCAGGACTGTGACTCGATTCTCTGGGTTTCAGCGTCTTGTTGGCGGACTCTCTTGTGCTTCAGAAGGATAAGTTCCAGGAGGTTTTGACTTGGCTTAAATGTCTGCACTTGTCCTTCTTTATGGAGTAATGCCAACCAACCAAGGCAGAAGGAAGGACAGATCAGAAAGTCATGTCTGCTGCCCTCAGTGTGGTCATTGATTTGGGCAGAAATCATCAGGGGACGTTAACACCACCATGTGAAGGGTAGTCAGGGAACGTTGCCCCAAGGGCATTTGTTAATTACAACATGAGAAGGGTACCAAGTACAGAGACAGCTGTCAGGTGCCATGTCAACCACTGGTCACTCTCAACATTGTCAGCCATGGGACTCATCGATGTCCTGTGTCCCCGATGTGAGGCAGTGGGAAGAGTTAACACGGCCTGTGGAGTCATCCTGCCCCAAATCATGGCCCAAAGTTCCTTGTGAAGAAACAGCCACATAGATCTAAGAAAAGGAACATTCTGGAAGACTTTGGTTTGGACTGCTGGATGTCCACGCCAGGAAAGAAAAAGGAGCAGGGAATGTTCCAGACAAGAGGAGACCAAGGAGATGTGGTGGGATCTTTCCTGAAGGACACTGTGGGGGCAGTGGACATTGACTTGGGCCGGTGTCGCATCGTACTGTGGAAGCAGAGTCAAGGTCCTGAGCGCGAGGACAGCAGGATGCTCATGCAGGCGGCAGTGTTTATCTTTAGAAGGTCCCTGTGGAAGTCGTTAGGGGAGGATTGTCAGGCCGCACTTCCTAACTGTTTAGCAAAAAGAGAGCGCGTGTGTGTGTGTGTGAAGAGTGTGAGCTTGCCTGATAAAGCGAATGTGGCAACATGGAAGGAGTGCAGGTGTGCGCTCACCGAGTGTGCGTGGCAGCTTTCCCTTGGGCTGGAGTGTTTGACGAGGCAACGTGGGAGGCGGGGCTCCCGGCCTAGGCAGCAAGGCTGGCGCCTGTGCTTCCCCTGGAGGACCTGCTGCAGGACTTCTTGATGGAGAGGACTCAGCTCTCTGAGCAGCGGGAGACACCGCGGAAGTCGCCGACGTCATCCTGGTGAGCGCTCCCCTTTGGTTGTCTAAATCCACCAGCGGCTTCGCGTCTTGCTCGAGAATTCTCCTGAGTCGCTCCCACGTCACTCTCATGGATGTCGTGATGCAGAGCGTCTTTCACGAGATTCAGGGTTTCCTTTGCGTGGCGTTTCCAGGATACCCTTGGCCCTCGCCCGATGGTCACCGTGCACACAGCTCTCCGGTGGACGGCTGAGCATGGACCCCAGAGTTCAGCAGGAAGCCGGGTTCAAGTGGGAACTAGTTATAGAAGTAGCTCATTCACTGGGGAATATTTTCTTCTTTGATTTTTTTACTTCCCTACACAGCTCCGTGAGCTGTGGGGACTTCATTATCCTCTGAAAGTTCTCCTAACGAGGCCCCCGTCTCAGACCGCGTGCAGTAACTTCTGGTGCCGGACAGCCAGCGCTGGTCTCCGACGTGCTGGGAACTCTTAGAGTTTCCCTTGCAGATTTCAGGGCTCCCACGTCTACCCCTGGAGTCCTGTCATCTTAGGTCCTCTCTGTGTTGCACTGAAGGCAGGGATGACCAGCAGGGCGGTCTTGGCTCAAATGTGCTGAAATACGTGGTCTCCGAGCTTCAATTCAGCCCGTACTGGTCAGGTCCCTAGGGGCCAGGTGGGTCATCTGGGGGAAGTTTAATTAACAGAGGGGCTGTTGGCAAAGGTGTGGTCAGGGTGTGGGAACAGTCAATCCCAAAGCGGTAGATGGTCCAGTCTCCAAGTGCTGCTGCTCCAGCGATAACGGATTTTTAAAAATCAAATCCAGATCAGATTTATGAAAACAAAGTGAAATTTTTATTAACATTTAGGTACCAGAGAGATTGAATGAAGTCATTAAAGAAAAACCCTTTTTGGGCTGGCTCAGTGGCATAGTGGTTGGGTTCACGTGCTCCACTTCGGCGGCCCAGGGTTCACAGGTTTGGATCCCGGGCACGGGCATAGACACTGCTCGTCAAGCCATGCTGTGGCAGCACCCCACATGAAATAGAGGAAGATGGGCACAGATGTTAGCTCAGCAGCAATCTTTCTCATGCAAAAAGAGGAAGGTTAGCAACAGACGTTAGCTCAGGGCCAATCTTCCTCACACATACACAACCCCCCCAAAAACAAAAACAACACTTTTTATTACGAAAAATTTCAAAAAATTTCAAAGCTCTGTAAAAACGAGGAGATGGTCATCACCGAGTTACAACAGTTGCCAAGCAACGGCCATCTGTGCTTTGTCTGTGTGCCCTGCTCCCTTGGCCTGGCCCCATAAATTATTTTGAGGTAAATCTCTGTAAATATTTAGTCTCTATTTTTAAAAGATAAAGACTCTTAAAAAATACAGAGTGACTACATGCCATTATCAGACCTAAAAAATAAACAGTGATTCCTTAGTCCATCTGATAACTTGTCATTGTCGACGTGGGTGGGTTGTGCTGAGGTCATGGACCCCTCCCGGATGGGGAGACCTGGCCTCGCCCCAGGCGCCCTCTCTGCTGGGCAAACCCGACCAGAAGTCGGGGCCTCACCGTCTGCACCCGACAAGTCTGAGTCACTGGAGGCTGTCCGGGGAAACCTGCCTGTATTTGGGAAATCGCTCTTTTCCAGAGTTAGGATGCTCCTAAGGAGGCGGGTAGCCCCTCGGTCTCATCTCGATTTGGTGAGTCTGGGGTCAGTTCCCACCCTGGAAAGCAGTGATCACTGAACCGCGTCTGCTCGAATCCACGGGTGCCTGGAGTGGAATCCAGGAATCCACCCGGGACTTGCATTAGTCTGTGGATAGAAGGTTCTCCTTTAGTTTTTTCCCGTATGTTTTCTTAAGACTTTGATCTAAGTCACCATTGTCTGCCTGTGAGTAGATTCATTCATTCATTCATTCATCTAACACACATTTATGGAGCCCTGCCCATGTGTCAGGCATGGTTCTGGGAGCTGGGGAATCTGGGCCCGAGGAGGCTTAAGTCCCAGTGGGAGACAATGGCCAATGGGTCCACTGTCAGAGGGAAAGGAGGAGAGACAAATGACGCTGATGTTAGGGTCTTATGCTCAGGGATCTGATTTTGTTGTTGGATAAGGTGATAGTCCTGATTTTTGCTAGAAAAATTATTTCTAGCTTGTTTGACGGTGTTGCTCTGCAAAGGGACCTGTGACTGCGGTATTGGGATACCTGACGAGGGTGAGGGTGGGTCTCAGCGGACATGGCACTGAGCTAAGGAACGTCCTCAGTCTGGGATCTCTGGAATCGTTCTGCTGGGCAGGGGGGGGCCCTGCTGCTGGGGACCAGGCTTCTCTGTCTTGGGCCTGATTTGGTCCCTGGTGACATTGAGCTGATGTTAACTCTATTGCGTGGCCAAACCCCACGCCTTCTCAGTGGGGAGATATCACCCCATGGGGTGAAGGTTGGTTTTGGGGACAAAGAGTCTGAGGTGGTACATTGGTTTGTGGCTCTGCAAAGGGGCACAGGACACAGGCAGAGACACTGTGTCTCTGTGGGACTGAACTTTCCTAGGGGGGGCGTTCGTTGGGATAAAAATGTCTAGAAAGACTCCTTAGGGGGATGTCATGAAAAGGTGCTTGAGAAACACTGAGCTAGAGGACACTTTCTTTTCAGATTTTTTTTTTTTTGATTTGTGTGTCTTATTCCACAATTTAATTTGTGTGTCTAGCTTGGACAGTGACCTTTTCGTTTAGAGGAGTAATCAGACTTGACGGAGTTGAAGGAGCCTGTCTGAGTTGCCAGCAGCTCCTCGGAATTTCGACCTGGATGACACTCACAGGCCCGAGAAGTGGGTGACTCTGTCTTGCTGCAGCCCCGGGTACTCGGTGATGTTCTGTAGAAAACACCCTCTCGCTCCGATGAGGGACGGCGAGGGTACTAATTCTTTATGGTCGTGTTTGTGAGCATCTGGTACCGGCCATTCCGGGAATATTTCCACGTGCCTGTGGAGGCCTGCTCTGTTCAGGGACGCGTGTGAGGGGGCTTCGTGTGGAGGCGGGGGACGGGCCGCCTGGGCCCACTGGCTCGGTGCCAGGACAGCGTCACTGCTACGGTGTCTGAGTCTAGCGATCGGGTAAAGTTTGCCGAGGGAGGAAGGAGAGGGCGCGCCAGCTCCCAGCGCCCTGTTACGTGTTACGAAGGAGTTCTCTGGGCACCAATACAGGTAGGTCACAGAATCCTCGGTCAGGCGTTGGAGAGCAAACAGGAGGCATGCAAAGATTAGGCAAGAAACAAGCAGATGACCGGGTGACCTGAGTGGGACCAAGCAACTCATGTCTTGGCGTTAGTGCCGCTTCCAAAGTTCAGATGCACGCAGCACACACTTGTGGGTGACCTACTCCCCTCCAGCAGGGCCAGGGCTGGGATGAGGCCAGCAGACACCTGGGGGACAATTCAGAGAGGTGCTCATTCCAGGAGTCGTTCAGTTGCCACACGCGCCAGACCATGAACCTGAGCACTTCCTTAAATCCTACACCCCAGCTTCGGGTCACTCCGAAGCTTGCTCACCCGAGTCCTGGCCCTGAATATCATTTCAACCTCATAACTCCAGGAGATGAGTAGTGTACATATTAAGATTCTTTTGATTGGGTTATAAGTGATAGAAAACCCAGCTTAAGCTTTAAGCTAGAGGGGAGTTTATTGGATTGCATATGCTGAGAGGTACATGGGCATACTGACTTCAGGAGCAGCTTGATCCAGCATCCAGTTGCAGTCACTTGGCTCCATCTCGGGTCTTCCTTGGGGTGGGCTCCCTTCTCAGTCTGTCTCTCCCCTCATGGTTGTAAAGCACTGCCAGGACCTCATCCTTCAGGGCTGACGTAGCAGAGAAGTGAGTGAGAATCTATGATCCAGCGTTTCCCATCTGAATCTTGTTGCATCTCCTTGGATTTCACTGGATCCTGTGCTGCCCTCTGAACCATCACTGTGGCCTGGGAATGCTGTGCATGATCGATTCAGGCCTGGATATCGGGGTTTACTCTTGAGCTGAGGATGGAGTCAACAACAAAGCACATGGGCTGCGAGTGGGGAAGGTAGTGGTCACCTGGAGGGAAACTGAGGGGCCTTTATTGGGAGAGGAGTGAAGAGATACTGGGGAGCAGGACAGCAGGTGTCCACCACACTACTGTTTATCACACCATTTTATAATTAGGGAGGTGAGTTCAGACAGGGTGAGTCACTTGCCTGAGGTCACACAGCAGAGTAAGTGAAATTGCTGAGATACAAACTGTTGTTTTGACCTTTCTGTCCTTCACACTCCCTGGGCCGTCTCCCCCTTCTTCTACTGCATCATAAACTCTGTGAGGTCAAGGGCTCAGTCTGCCCCGTGGTACTGGCATCAGACCTTAAAAAGAGCAGGTGCTGAACGATAGAATTCAAGCGGCAGAGTGGGAACACGGCGTGGGAGACCTCACTCATCTGCAGGCCTGCGTCAAGCCTTAGAGAGCAGCTGGGACCGAGGGACAGAAAGCACAGTTCCATCCAAAAAGGAGTTCGGTCTCAGAAATCTCAGGCCTCCGTTAAATTCTACAGTGGGTTCTAGTGGCGTGCCCGCCTTGTTCCACTTTGTGATGATTTTTCCTTTGTTTCCAAGGATCGCTGAGGCGGCGAATTACCACACCTGCCTGCTGTCGGCCACCAGCCCCCTGCTCTCCCTGGAGGTGTCCCCACCGCCCGCGCTGGCCCGGAACCTGTCCGGCTCCCCGCTCATCACCGTGCAGCTGCGGCACAGGCTGGTGAGTGTCGGCCACGCCGCTGGCCTCTGGTGGCTCCGCTCAGGAGTTTCTGGCCGTCTGCAGGGTGGCGTGAGGGTCTGAGGTGGCCTTGGTGCTGGCCAGAACTGGCTTTTCTCTCCCGAGAGTTCCTTTTCTGGGGATTATTTCCGAGCTGCAGTGGGAAGTACCCGGACGGCACTCGGGGTTGGTGGCACGGTGTGGACGTTGGTGGAAAAGCCTCGGAGACCCGAGGTGGCTCCCGTCTGTGCGTGGGCTGCGGCTGTGGGTAGCTCCGATTTGCGATAATGTCCTTTTTGGAGCGGGGTAGATCGGCCGGTTCTGCTTATCTCCACGATAGCCGTTAGCAAGATGAAGAACTCTGTTCGCTCTGAGAAACACACCGGAGGCCAGAACAGACCATTCTTTCGCTTTCGGTCGGAGTGAGGACGGTCTCTTGCGCGGCGTAGCTGTGACTCCCTCCGCGCTCACGCGCCTTTGTCAGGGAAGGAGTGACGAGGGTGTGGGGACACAGATGCGCTAGGGCCCGTGGAGAACCACAGCTCCTCTTGTGCCGGGGCCACTCCTGAGGCACCGTGTTGTTCACGCCTGAGGGGTGTGATTTTTCAAGGAATCTTTAAAGAGCTGGAGATATTTTTGGTTGTTTGAAGCCATACTAAAGACGCTTCCCTCCAGGAGTTTCTTTTTCATTCATTCCTTCCTGCTCCATCTCGCTCCACCAACATTAACTGAAGACCTACTATGTGCTGGCCCTGTGTTCAGAGCCGCTCTTGTCCGTCCCTGTGTAATGATCTCCTCGTCCCCTCCTCAGAGCAGACGCCCGCGGGTGCTGAGCCATGTGGAGGTGCGTCAGGTCGTCCTTACTCCCGCTGCAGCCCCGGCCCACCTGCCCTGCGCCTCCCCATGTCCCCCACCTTCCAGCCCCTCCTTGGTTCCCTGAGAACCCAGCTGCGCCTGGCCGTCCACACTTTTGGCCGTGTCCGTATTATCAGCGCCACCAGGCAGCTCTGCTTCCCTCTTTCGTCCTTGTAGCTCACTGGTTTCTCATCGACCCTCTCGTCATTCCCTCCTTTCTCAGGGAAAGACGTTTTCCTCCTCTTTTTCAGAGCTAACCTTTCTTCAAGAACCTTTCTTCCCCTCTGCCCCCCTCCGGCCCTGACCCCTCTGCGGGTCCGTCCCTCCCTCTCCAGGATCCTTCATCCGCCTGCGAACGGTCCCCACCTGAGAATGCCTCCATCACCCTCTCTCTCCCTCTCTTTTTGAAAATGACAAAACATAAAAAAAAAATTAAGTGTGGTAAAATACACTTAACATAAAATATACCATCTTAACCATTTTTAAGTGCACAGTTCAGTGGCATTAAGGGCATTCGCATTGTTGTGCAGCCGTCACCACTGTCCAGCTCCAAAACTTTTTCATCCTCCCAAACTGAAACTCTGTCCCCATTAAACATGAACGCCCCATCCCCCTCCCCCAGCCCCGGCCCCCACCCTTCTACTTCCTGTCTCTATGACTTTGGCTCCTCTGGGGACCTCATAGAAGTAGAATCATACGGTATTTGCCCTTCTGTGACTGGCTTATTTCACCCAGCGTAACATCCTCAAGGCTCATCTACATTGTAGCGTGTGTCAGAATTTCCTTCTTTTTAAGGCTGAATAATACGCCGTTTTCATATACATAAAACATACACTTTATGTACATGCCACATTTTGTTTATCCTTGCCTCCACGGTGGACACTGGGTGCTCCTGCCTTTTGGCTGTTGTGAGTAATGCTGCCGTGGACACGGGTGTGCACAATCCCTTCAGGACCCTGATTTCAGTCCTTCTGGGTGTGTATCCACGAGTGGTGTTGCGGGCTCCCAAGTCCGAGGGATCTGCTGTGCGACACTGTGCCTCTGTTCTCTGAACTACTGAACGTCGATTTTCAAACTGCAAAACTTCTCAAGTCTCCAGAGACCTCCCTCACCCAGTCCAGGGCCCTTTTCACCTTCCATCGTCTCTGATGTGTGGACAGTGTGGGACCCTGTCGATGCCCACACCCCCCACGGGGCCCCGTCTGGCTGCAGGACCTCCTTGGACTCCCTAAGCGCAGGTTGGCTTCGGCTCCTCCGCATCGACGTTTACTCCTGTGAAGTCATGGAAATGCCGTGATCTCAGCCATCACCTCCTTTCAGAGGTCATTGAGGACCCACGGCCCACATCCTCCTCTTGCCCTCGACCCTGCGCTCCCATCTCCAGGCTTCAGAGGCCCACACCTGCACGTCCTCTGTGCCCATCTTCCTCCCGCGACACTGCCCTGCTCTCCGTCGAGTCTGGAGCGTTGGCGCCTTCCCAGGTTGCTGGTCTTTGTTCTCTTTGCAGGACCAGCTGTGGCCTTATTTTCAGAGGGTCCCTCACACCTGCTCCCCCTTCTCCCTCCCCTGCTGCAGAGCCTTCTTGCTTCTGTGGCTCTGCCTAGGCTGGAAGCTTCCTGCCGGTTCTTCCTGCTTCATCCCGTCAGGTTCCCAAGCCTGAGTTCCAGGAACGCAGACGGGGTGGTCTCACTCAGTGACTCAGGTTTCCCGAAAGAAAAATTTAAACTCTGGGCCAGATCGCTAGGGGACCCTCCCAATCCCACTTTCCACACGAGCCTCCCTCCAGCGCAAGGAAATCTCGCTCCCCTTTGAAGTCCCAGGCCCACTGGCCTCTCCATCTTCACGTGAGCCTCTATCCTAGTCTAGAAGGCCATTCCCCTACAACTCTGGGGTCCATCCCATGGCCTCCACAGAGCCCTCACTCGTCTTCTCAGACAAGAGCAGCCCCTCCCTCCACGCTATCCTTGCACTCTGTCAGTACCACGTCCGAAGGTGGGATGTCATGATTATTTGTGCAAATCAAGAATCTCTTAAGCCAGCCTGTGCGTTTCTTGAGAAGCTGCCCTGGACCCACTTTGGAATCATCTATTCTTTCCTCCTGATGCCTTGCGCTGAGCTCTGGCACAGAGCAAAGGCTCAGTAAATATTTGTGGAGTGGATGGTGAGCTGAGAATCAGCCACGCCATGTAAGCAGCCTTGTCCTGGAGCTGTGTTGTTGTTTGTGTATATTTACATAACTTCTCGTTCTGTGGAGGGATCGCTCGCCGCTGGCGCAGAGGCTATGCCCCTGCTGCCATCGTGAGAATGCCACCAGCACAGAAGGATGAGCTCCGCCGGCTCAGCTGTGTTGGAAATTTGGTCCTAGCATGAAGTGGAGGCGATTTTCTTGCTTCTGCCGTGAGGATATTATCATGTGGCACTTGGATGTTGCAAGTCTGTAATCCAGAGACACACAGGTAGAGAAGGCTTGTACTGAAAGACTCGGGAACCGGTGTGTGTTTGAGGTGGAAGTCACCCTAGTGAAGGGGGGCCTGTGGGTCAGCAGGTGTCAGGGGCTGGGCTGTGGCTAGGGCTGAGGGCGCTGGGGACCAGGTCCTGGGGCTGAGGCAGGAGACTGCGCGGGAAGGGGAGGGAGCAACAGCTCGGGGAGGTGCCAAGGGTGGAAGACGAGTGGCTCAAATGCTGGGCTTTGTGGTGTCCAGATACCCAGTGAGTTCACACGTGCACACACGTGCCCCTGTGTACACACACACAAATACCCACACACACCCAGACCCGGCACACAGACAGACACACGCTCAGTACACACACTCCATCCTTGTCAGACCAGGTTGCTGTGAGCCTGGAGTCTGAAGACTGGAAAGTGGTTTTGTTTTCTTTGTTTCAGTTCCCTCCCTCCTCCCGCCCCCACTGAGGGGCCGTCTCCAGGGCACTTTCCCCCAGGCCGCTGGCCCTCCGCCTTTCCCCTCCTTCAAAGCGGGGCTGTCCCTCCTTCTGACCCCGCCGGCTCCCAGGAGACGGTAGACCGCGTCAGCGCTCATCCTCAGATCCTGGTCCTGACGTTCATGTTTCGGGGGCTGCCTGCACGTCTGGGGGGCTCTGCCGGTGCACCCCTACGCCCCTGCCGCAGAGCACCTCCCTGGCGCCGCCACCCGATCCCAACTGTGCTTGAGAGGGCGGCTCATTCTAGAGCTTTCCCAAGGAGACTTTTCAGGCATGGAGACACAAGCTGACATGGTGCCACGATCGGCGGGCCTGCCTGCTGGTCTTCCTACTTAGCCAGTTTCTTCTGTGATGTTCTGCCATCGATTTTTTTCATGCCACAAGGATCCCTACATTAATAAAGTAATCTCATTATTTTCTTAGGAAACCAACTCAGGTCAGTTACTGGTCCAAAAGCACACAAACCAGAGCCCACTCGCCTGGTATCGAGGGGCTTCGCCTGGAGACCCCAGTTCTTGTCAGGGTTCCTTGGGCCTGCGACCGGGACTGGGTCAGACAGACCGTGACGGCCAGGGTGGTGGGCTCCTGCTCGGTAAGCGTCTTGTTCAGAATCTCCTGGCACCGAGCGTGCATCTCAGAGCCCGGGATTCAGACGCCATCGCAGTATGTTGCTATTTTTATATGCTTTGCTCCCCAAACCGTCCGTAATCCAGATCTTGACCCCTGTCCTCTGGCCAGCCCCAGTTGCGCCAATTTGCAGGCGTCGGCCTCGGCTGACCCGCTCCTGCTCCTCCTCTGAGCGTCCTGTCCTGCTCTGGGGAGCACCCTGAGCAGTGGCCTTTCCCAGCTCGGACCACGCAGCCGAGTGGCAGGTGGCTGGTTAGAGGCCGTTTCTGTAGATCGCCCAGTTGAGGGGATGGAAACAGAGAGCAGACACACAGCCCCCCAGAGATGTCACCATGGGCCCCAGCCCGAGTCCACAAGCAGCTCCCTGCTGGGCTTGGCTCTCCCTGTAGCAGGTGCCAGAGTCTTCTGACTCACAGACGGATCAGAAATTGCGGTGTTCTGGGCAGTGAAAATTGCTCACAGCGTTTAATCAGAATCAGGATTGAACTGTCCCCTTTCCCCGGTCAATGAAAATGAGGCCTCTACTTCCCTCAGAAGGAGGCGAGCCCAGAGAGAAGCAGACTCTTGGGAAACTTTGA